ATTAACCTTAGAGCTAAGTCCAAACTCATGGTACCACGATTTCGTTTAACCAAGGTAAACAACTCTTTTATGGGGAACTGTATACGTTTTTACAATAAGATTCCGGAGCATATATTAAGTTTATCATTTCCTAAGTTTAAAAACTACATTAAAAATATTTTGATCGAAAAATCATATTACAAAATTGAAGACTACGTGTTAGATAAAGATGTATGGAAAGACGACATGGCTCCAGAATCCACACAAATTTGATTCAAAGTGTATTCCATAGCATTTAAGTTTATTTGAAAAGAGCAATCCCTAGAGTTTCTTGCTCGTTCTTCTCAGGGAGGTCAGCGTAGTGAACGAGCAGTAGCTTAAATGTGACGTTTTCAAGTGTAAATTTATTTTACCTATGGAATAAATAATCTTTGACTTTGACTTTGACTTTGATAGAACGGCTCAAAACTCGACCCAACTCACACTGGCGCAGAGTCAAAGCGTCGCGTCGCGTCCTGTTTTTCGACTACAACACCTGGCGATGCGCGACGACTCTCATGATATGAGCCTTCGAATTATATTTTTCATAATAATTTTTAAATTTTAGAAACTGTACCAAGCACAAGTCCGGTCATGTATGTTCTGCTAAATACCAACTGGCTACGCTGGATTCCGATTTACTAGAGGCGAAGCTGCAAAGTCTTGAACATCGCTGTAAAATTGCCTGCTTATCGGTATTCTACAGTATATGTATATCACTGAGGGTGACGCAAAATAGGCGCCTTGTCGTCTAGTTGCGGACACCAGCCCGTTACACCAAGTACCAAGTAGATCACTGAGGGTGTGCTATGGAATTGCATGATATAATTCCACCTTCCCCATTCCGTCATAGAGGGACTAGACGTAGGCTGAGGTTCGACACCTATGTTATGGATATTCCAAAGATTTGCACTAAGCGTTTCGCTTGCATATTTATATGATGAACAGCAAAGGAGTGGAATTCCCTGCCTGCAGACTTGTTCCCCAAACGCTTTCAAGACTGAATAGGCACTATTTAAGTGTGCATGCTACATCGTCGACGTCATAGTCACTGGTGAGATAGTTATACTTAAAATTAAAACAGAAGTTGACAATTTCCTTGTGACTGTATTTCACCAAAGTCATTTTAAAGTAATATAGTGCGTAATAGGTAATGTTTTGTTTAGGTTGACTGTCCTTTATCGTTGGCAGTAACTATAACTCAATGGGCTTAGTCGATTGGCAACCAGTGACCAATTAAAGTGTAGCGAAGCAATTACAATTAGAGACCAGAAAAAAGCGTGCGTAATATTATCCTTTATTTTTTGGTCTATTCAAAATCACAGTAAGTTACTCGTCGTCTATTTAATATTGAGTATGAAACCGTCTCATAAAAATACGTGATTTAACATTTTTATTGAAAATAAAATAATATGTATACAGAAATTCATGATCTATGTTTTCATATAGGTAAATAAATAATTAATTTTCATCAAAATTTTAATTTATGTTCATGAATCTTGTAAGATAAGAAAAGTATCTCAGTGATTTATATATAATATTGGTTACGAGGACAGTAATTGAAAGACGTAGTACGAGACAACTGTTTATTCCGTAATCAAAGTCAAATCTAATACTTATCAACTATTTATGATATACACCATTCCGGTTCGTATTCCATCCTCATCGCCAAATGGTACTTATTAACTATTTAAGATATAGACCATTAAGTATAGTTAATAATTACAATGAAAACAAGTTGATACTTTTTCCTGAGGTAAGTAGTAAGGTAAATTGCGGTGTAGTTATATTATGCATATGTAATTGCAATCTTAACGCGGTGTAGAATTGTGGAGTAAATATCCAGTTGGGAAGAACGCTTATATTCCATGCACAAGAAAGGATGTTATTTGTCGTTAGGACTAGGAGTCCCTTCGAGACTATAAACGTTGCAATACGTCCGAAACGGCGACGTAAATAAAATGTTTTTATAATAAGTCCCGAATTTAAAACAAATATGTGAAAGTTAAAAGTGCTTTTGTCACATGAAAGTTGATAAAAAAGTTATACGAATTACATAATACATTATATACCTGTATGTGATATTTTACAACTATTTACCCATATAATACTATCGACTAATTTCGTTTGTAGAACATTTAAATTTCTTCTGAAAAGTAGTCATTTAGCAAATGTGCTTTAGTAGATGTGCCTTATTACACCCAGGGTGTGCTTGAAGACTTTTTTTTTTTCAGGTAGGCATGGCCTAAATCCTTTTCCTATAAGAGACATATGCTGACCAGCAGTATATATTAGTTCGTACAGATATAGGTAGAATAATGAAAATTCGAGAATTATGGAGCATGCGTTTGTTACGTTTATTGCTAGTAATAGTGATGGCTCTAGCAGCAGTGAACCTCGGTGGTTCCTTTTTAGACATCTCAAGCCAATTTAAATTGTATCGAAACGTGTTTAAAAATAAAACGTAAGTATAAATCACATAATGTTTATTAATATTATAAATAAATAATATTTTCTTGAATGTTAAATGTTAAATACTGACATTAAACACAAAATCAGTGAAGCAATTAAAGGCATAACAGTAGAAGAAATAGAAATATTAAATAACCCAAAATTGTAAAAATAAATAAAGAAAATCATTACTAGTACAGGAGCGAAACATGAAGTGAGACGCCTAGACTGTTATTTGAATTTTACTCAACATAGAATGATTTTTGAAAATTTCTGTGTGACCGAAGTGACAGACTACTTAGTTACCAGTAAAATTAATTATATACACTATGTATACTACTGAAGATTCATTTACAGATTATAAAAAAATATTTTTTCTTTTAATAAGTTTGGAATTTACAACATTCAGAAGAGAAAAACTGAAACAATCTCCCTTCGAAACAAAAAGAGTACCAAGAGTGTCAAGAAAAACAATCACACAATATGCAGTACCAATAAAACATAGCCCAAATATAACACAACTCATACAAAATACTACACAGACGACTAATTCAAATATAACCCAAGTCAGAACAGCGCATAATATGAAAAAACAACAAACACAAAGAACGTTACATCATAATACAGCTACACAGTCCAGATATAGTGCACAAAACATGGAAATAATATTGAACAACGGTATCGCTTTCCAATCACCAACACAAAGCAAACATCAAGTACAACATAGGGAAAGACCAATTAAAACACAAAACACACTTATTACTACAACACAAAAAAATACAAACACTACAGAAACAACAAGACAGGCAATTTCAAATGAAGACGAGGAAATCAACATTTCTGCAACCATGGAGTCAATATCGAATGAAAACATCACAATGCCATTCTGTAAACGTCCTAGTAATTTAGGTTAGTAGATAACTATACTCTAGCATAATTCGATATAGAATGTTTAATAACAAATCGTTGCTAGGCAACCAATGATGGCATAGAAAAAAACATTTTTTATCAATGTTCTTTATTTAGGCTTGCTCTGTCACAGCCTGGTCGCGTAATTAGAATTTAAATAGGTACTTAGGTAATTGGGTTATGTAGAAGTAATACTTGTCTGGCCCATTATTATGAAGTTTGCGAAGTGCTTATCCACACGTACGATTTATGAATAAAATAAGTTTAATAAGTTTCAAAGTTTTAGATACCTATTAATAGGTCTTCTTCAGTTGACGTTCGGCGGACTCTGACGATTATATTTGTGAGAACCAGTACATAGCGACTTCTTCTTCTTCCTGACTTTATCTCACGCTAAGTGAGGTCGGTACAACATGTGTTTTTCTTCCACTCTCCCCTATCATCCGTCATTTCCATACTTACACTTTTCTTATCCATGTCGTCTTTCACACAATCCATCCATCTTTTCTTTACCTTCCTCTCCCCGTATATAGCAGTACTTACCGACTTATCAGTGGCGTAGTACAGGTCTTCGCGTGTGTAGGTGTAGGGATAGTAGATAATGGTAGATGAAAAGAAACAAAAGTGTTAGATTTCATTTTATATAAATTTACTACATGATCTCATCTAGCATCAATTTCTGATTCTGAACTTGAACTAGAAATGTTTGCAATCTCTCCCTTCAAATTTTATAAATAATTAATTACTGGTTTTGGTTTCAAATCACTGAACAAAATTCTCTGGCTTCAAGTTTAGTATTATCAATGGCCTAATCGAATTTCGGGAAAAAATATTGGAATTATCTGTTGACGATGATTCTGCATCGAATTTTGCAACTTTAGCAAATAAGAGCAAGGAAATAAAGTACATAAGTTTTCAAATGTTTGTACGTCTATTTTCCCGAGTGCATACAACCCGCACGGGATAACCTAGTGAAGTAAAACCGGAGCAGTAATATTTTAAGAACCTCCTGTGTCGGAGTTTTAGTGTTAAATTCCCACAGGAGGAGTCGTGTGCAGTTTAATGAACTAATTACCACTTGATAAGGTGATGGAAAACGTCAATATGAAACTTGCGTGTCGGAACCAAACAGTTTATACAGAATTGTTTGTAAAATACTAACATCCTCACAGGACTATATTAGGGCATTTCTCCACGAGACGCAAATTTTTCTGACTTCGGTGGTCGATTTTTTTCTTAATTCAGAGGAAACATTGAGCAGTAAGAGAAAAAGAACTGAAACTTACATAATATTCCGTTAATTGGGCAACTAGTAATTTCACAAAAATAATTGAATATCGTGGTGGTCTAATATCGTGACATTCGATAAGCTTAAAAATTACATTTACTAAATCGACATCTCTAGTCAGCTGCTGGTAGCTGTAAAGGTACCTCGTTGAGTAAAAAAAACTTTCATAGATTACTCATAGATGGCGCTACCGCAAAAAAGTCGTTAAAAAACCAAAACAAAGATCTGCAACAAGCACAATAGAAAAAATCGTAAGGTCCGTTGGTTTGTTCCGCGACTTAGTAGTAGACAAACAATTTCATCGAACGAATTTTTCCTTACTATTCGATGTTTGTATTAATAATGTTTAACAGACGTTTTGTTGTGATTGTTGTAAAGTTAAGAACAAAATTGTTTTTGATAATTATTAATTAAAAGTTCGAAGAAAAAACCCTTCGATCTGACAGGACTAGAACTTGTGTATATTTTGCCAATATAGAGCAAAATACTCTACCAACTGGAGTATTATAGATCGAGTCAGCAGACAAGAATATTTTCTACGCTTGTTACGCAACCTTTATTTTTTGGTTTTATCGGCTTTTTTGCCGTGGCGCCTATGAAAAATCTATGAAAGTTTTCTTCACTTAACCATAGTAACACATCATAATATTAATTACATTCAATGTTACAAAATGTTTTATTATAATTTTAGGTCCAGTCAGCGTAAATAAATCAAAAGTAGAACTAACTTGGGTCGAAACTCTGTACCCAGAGGTGGACAGCGGAGGGATATATTCTCCGCCTAACTGCACTGCCATGCATAGTGTAGCAATCTTCGTACCATACAGGTGTAAACTGGGTCCTTCCTATTTATCTATTTTTTTATAACAAAAGTAATAAATCATTTTATGGACCTTAATTTTTGGACCTGTTCTGTTTTTATTTCGTTTTTGTTTTCACAAAATTTTTGTGCTATATATATGTATGTATGTAGCAGACACATTGGTAGGTTGTTAGGCAGACAAATTACTGTGCCCAAAGAAAGTGTGGCCCTGATATTAAATTTTAACATAAGTGTGCATGTTATCAATGAAAAAAAAGTTCTTAAAATTCCACAGCATAGCATCATTCTAAATCTAACTTCTATTGCAATAACAAAACTAGTACAGCTAGTTGGGCACCTGGTGGTAAGCAAGACTCCTAGCCTAACTACATATATATATATATATATATATATATAACTGCTGTAGCGTCACTAAAAATTGCAAAGACTCAGTGCCACTGCGCCTGCTACCCTCAGACATAAAGTTAGACAAATCTGTGCCTGTCGTTTCACTGGCAGCCTTACCCATTTTTTTGTTATTTTTTAGAATTTGCTTTTTGTTTCTGTTGTTTCACAAAATTCTGAGAGCGAAATATTAGTACTTAAATATTACAAAAATAACAGAAAATGACTAAAAAGTGAAGTTGGCGTAGTATTTATAGGAGGTATCGATTTATTGCACTCTGATCTTAATGATCCGGGTATTCTCTCTGAAATATGTCTCTAGTAAAGGGAAAGGGAATTGTATCCAAAGGTAAGATCTATCCATCTACAAAATTTGGAAAGATTTCATTCGAAAAAATCTAATTCCGCAAATAAAACTTTGTTTCAGAGATCGCGAAGAGCATTTAGCAATATTTCTTCGGCATATACATCCATTCTTAATAAAACAGCAATTGGAATATGGAATTTATGTCATAGAACAATTAGGTGAGGTGCTTGCTACAGAACTTTACCTTATAAATGGTTTTATTTCGATGGTATGAAACCTGCTCAAAAAGAAATTTAAGCATAGCTACTACCTCCTCTTCGACAAACCTTTGTTTGTAACAATAGTTACGTGAAAATTATATTCTCACGCCAAAGTAAGTATTTCGTCAAATCAAAATTTTAAAATTTTGTTCGTAAAGTCTATGTGTTGGACGAAAATGGAAGTAAACTAATTTGCCACGAACCCAGTGAAAATTAAATGGTACATAGTAGCTACGCTTGTGTAAAATACTTTGTTCATGCAGTTAATTTGAAATTGTAACACCTCTACAGTCTACTGCAATTTAGTACGGCGCGCCACAAATAGATGGCATTACTTGTGTCCTGAAACGCGCCATCGAAGTTTTTTAGTAGCAGTGTAACTCCTTGTGAAAGATTTCGTCCAGGGAAGTACTGCCACCTTACGGATTTGCGCGGTAACCGCTTCTACCCTGTGGACGGTTTTGCTGTAGTCATGTCCCTAAGCTATTTTTTGTTGTACCACTACATAAATATAACTTGTGTAGGTGTCAAAATAGTGAAACATTGAATGATGTAATGAAAAAAAACCCTTAACGTGTTTTCGGACAAATGAAACAAAATCTATTCAATAAAAGTGTAAAGGTTTTCGGTGAAACAAAATTCTGTAAATCATGTTTCTAGCTTGTGATAGGTAACCCCAAAAACGTATCTTAATTTTCAGGTAATCGTGACTTTAACAAAGGAATATTATACAACGCCGTGTTCTTGGAGGTGCAAGGGCTGAGCCCCGCCGGATGGGACTGTTACGTTTTCCAGGACATCGATCTTCTGCCTCTGGACTTAAGAAACTTGTATTCGTGCCCAATAAACCCGAGACACATGTCTGTCGCAGTTGACTCACTTGAGAATAGGTACCAGACTTAAATAATTTAAGACGCTATAAATGGAATTAATAAATTCTTATAATTAACCCTTTTTATCGGCATCATAAAAATACAAGATTTTTTATCACATTCAGTCGGTTCGATTTCAAGATGCGGCAAGCAACTTTTTAAAAGCCTTTGAATGACTCCATGAAGCGAAATATCTTACCTGAAATATTTAAAGTAATTTCCTTCCGGATAGCCGTGAGACACATGCAGTACCTTTATTTAATACTGTAATGAAAAAAAAACGTATAAAACCATGGTAGCCTAATGGTATAACCCACCGCTTTTCAAGCAGAGGCGGTCTTGGGTTCGAAGCTTACATCTCTGTTTCTCGGAATTTATATGCGAAATTTAATTTGAAATTTACCATGAACTTTTCGGTGAACGAAAACAGCGTGATCAAACCGTCGCACATCGAAGAAGGTTCACAACCCTCGGAAAACGTGTGAAGTCAGCGTTGCGAACTATGACCAAAACCCTCGTCTGAGAGGAAACCCGTGCCGAGCAGTATAAAAAAACAACCGTTACTGAAACTGGATAGACTCTAAAACTAAACTTCGACACATACTACTCCGACTATATTTTACATAACATGATTTTGACAATATGATAGACTGACATTACTCTACTCAGACACTACGACTACTCCGCCAATATGTTAGGAGATCGTGGGGTATTGGGAGTCCGCGGGTAATGAGAGCGGTGTTAAACTAGACTTTCCCAATGCTCGTATTTGTGCAAACGGCACTCCTATGTCTTCGTTAACGTTCGACAAGTTTCGAGTCCCGTGGGCGCCCCCGTAGAACCCCGCGTTTAGTCGTATGAGATGGTTGTGTGTTTTTCGCTCCGCGCTCATAAAGTTTACTATGTAGTAATCATCATCCCAGGTAAGCTTTAAAATGCATAGATACTACATTGTATTTACACTAGCTATGTCACCATATCTATCAAATTTCAGAAGTTATGCTTGAAATCACAATAAAAATATAAATGTTTTTACTGTTTTATTCCTTTTTCAGTTCGATGTTACGCGGGTAATGAGAGCTATTTGGCTCTCCTTATCTCATTGCAACATTCACTGGATAGTCCTTTAACACTTTCTTGTTTATTTTCATTACTTTTTAACTTATATATTTTATTACATTTTTTTTTTCAGTTTGATTATATATAGTGGCTCCCATTTGACATACGGGACTCTTATCGGCTCCCATTTCCCGCACTGTGTGGTAATGAGAGCGAATGACATGTTTTAACCTTTTTTAACCAAATATTTCATTTTAGTTTCATATTTTTTCTGTGATTATCTGGTACCCAGATATGTGAAGCGTATGTTCATAACTTATAAAAATTTAATTGCATAAACTATGATTTTCATTGTTAATTTTCCTTAGTAGATTCCCAGTCCCCTACGCTGCCCTACATCGACATGACTTTTCTCAGAAACTACGATACTCTGACAATATAATAGACCGACATTACTTTACTCTGACACTACGCTAGTCCGACAATATGTTACATAGAGATGATTTTACTCAGACACTATGCTACTTCGGCAACACAGATGAGATAAGACCGTACTAGGCTCCCACCTGTCACAATTTGATCTTACTGTCAGAAATGATTATACACACATGAAAAGTATCTAGGGATCAAGCACGTCTTTGCCAAGTCTAAAAATAAGGTTTTTCTAATTTTTTTTCTAACACCGATGGAGTTTTTGGTCTATTTCATACTTTAAATTTGAAAATGAAATTAACTAAGCAAAATCCATTGGTGTTGAAAATAATTATTGAAAACCTGATTGTCAGTAATTAGCAAAAACGTGCTTCACACTTTAGATTTGTATATGAGTGTATTTGTATATAAATGAGATGACACACACAATACTTAATGGGAATTTCAGAGAAAGCCTAATAGGTATAAGGTAGAGCACGAGATCATACTCGAAGTTAATTAAATTCTCTAATGTGGTCTGCAGGGTCGGTATGTTTTCCACACAATATAGGCAACTCAGTAAGCGTCGCGGGTCGAATTCCTCAAACTGTGTCCATAAACTTAATTTTGAACAGGTCTATAGGAAAATACTTGTCGTTCATGCAAGAGACCGCCGAATTCTCAATGTTCAGTATAAGCCGTTTCGAAACACGTGCGCGGTCTTCATTATTTGAAAAACATGACTTGCTTTAAGTGAAGTAAACTATTAAGAAGCCTAAATACCGGTAAAGTATGTTATCGAAATCGGTACCCTTGGATACCGCCTTCGAAACAAAAAAAGGCACCAGTAACGAATTCGAAATTTGGAGATAAATATGTTTATACAGTGTGTTGATTTGCATGTTTGCCATATTCAAGAAATTAATAATATAAATAGTATGAATTTATCTAAAAATATTTAAAAATATTCTGTTTAATTAACGTATTCTGACTAATTGTATTTAGTAAAGTTTTGCAAAATTGTCTTTAGAACGTATGCACCGCGCGAGGCCATTGGCTCGGAAGATACGTAATCTTTCTCGATCGCTTAATTACCTATTTTTTTATTATTATAACTGCGTAGTGTTATAATTTATTAATTATTTACAATAATAGGTAAGACTGAAAATGTTCGTTATTTTTTGTAATTTAGACTTGGTAGTTACCAATTTTAGGTTAAAACCTACAAGTGGACACATCACTGGCTATGCAAAAATTCGAGTGTTTCATATCAAGTTTCACAACAGTATTTTGAAAGCTGACTTAGTTGATTTCTCAAGTTTGAAAACGGAGTCAGTTATTGCGCGAAATTGTTCGACACTCGTAATCTTCTCCGCGTAAATTAAACGTTTCACATTACCCCTGTATAACTCCAGGCGTACTTGGCGTCCATAATGAGAAGAAGCACTTGATGGTAGTACAGTTCTTGTGAATAGAAAAATCTTTTGTAAAACACAAAAAACCACGCGCGCATTTCACGATAGACTAGAATAGAATTAATCAATTATTAATTGCGGCGATCTTATTGCAGTGCGCTCACTCACACACTGGAGGTGAATAGCCGCATCCCAAGTGTGCGAGCAATCGCACTGCGACTTGCGTTTAGGAAAGAGATAACAACACTAGCTTCTGTTTTCTCGGTTCTTTGTTTGGTTGCACGTGCCGTGCAAAAGTTAATGGATGAACCTTTGGATCATGTGATTGCGAATCTATGTTGAATCTATTACGTCTATGTTTACCGTAATTAAATAAAAAATAAGAATTTTGTCATTTTTGTTTCGAGATTTATTGTTTTAGTGATTTGGGTTCAGTTTCAGATATACATAGAATAACGTCTGTAAATATAGCAAGAACGCGAATCATTGTATTTTTTAGATTTTTGTATTTGTTAGATTTTTGTGATAAACGCATTTGAATACGCATATATGCATATGCGAAATTTAATAACTCTCCCATTTAAGCATTTTCGTTCGTAATATCTTTAAACCTGTCTTCTAAAAAGTTGCCATTTTAGAAATGTAGCTTTATTACACTAAGGGTATGAAGTTCTGTATAGGTAATATACACGAAGTGCATAAAGCGCCGCGCCCCAGCACCGTTCCTAAAAGCGGCTTTACACAACTCGATTTCCCACGGGTCGTGCCGCATGAGCTCGCGCCAACGCGCCTTGGGAAAAAGGCCGCCCATGTGCGCCTGTGCTCGTCTGTGGTCGCCTGTTTTTAGATCCGCCGAGTATCACGTGACACACACTCGAACACGAACTACCACACACGTCGGCCCGCCCAGTCTCGCTCGTGGCGCGATCTCGCCCGTTTTGCCTTTCAACAACTTGCCGCCTTAGGGCGGGTTCCCATTATGTCGTAACGTTTTTTTTTTTTTTTTTTTTTTTTTTTTTTTTTTATTGCGACTCGACAAAATGACTGCACCGCGCCTGATGGAAAGTGCGAATACAGTCCAGAGATGAGAGTAACGGATGGAAAACACAAATATCTTCACTCCGTCACTATCATTTTGCCGGTCTGGCCAAATGCACTGGATGTACACCAACTGATCCCTGAACGCGATTCGCAAAAGCGTTTCACTGTGGAGGGTTTTCCGCCGTGTGTACTGTGGTCGCTATCCAGTCGGCACAGAGCCTACCACAATGCTAAGCAGATGGACACTTGTGACGCCCTCGGTCGCCTCTTACGACCCCCACGGGCATGTATGGGGAGGCGACAATGTATTCTTAAGCCGTCGCCCCACGGCTAAGTTTTATTTATCATTGGACGACTGTCGCGTCTAGCCCGTCCCATATCACGACTACTTGTCGTGACTGTGTCGTGGTTATATGCGTCCACTTATTTTATCGTTGAATGACTGTCGTGTCTAGCTGTTCCCACTAAATTGTGACGACAATTTATTTAGGTTCATTGTCGCATGTCACATGTCGTCACATTTTTATCGTAACGGTTTATTTATCGTCTGACGACTGTCGTTCTAGCTCTTCCCATTGTCACGACAGCCTGTCGTCATAACGTCAAGAAAGTCATAAACGACAGTGAATCGTGTTGATCTATGTGTGAACAACTTCATTTAAATATACAAACCACGACACTTTAAACTGCACGACTATCTGTCGTCACGACATAATTTGAACGCGCCCTTGAGTGTGCTACATTGTGCGGATTCATACCAATCAGAAAGTGTCCAAATGTCCACCATAGTCCTACGGTCCAAATTATTTCCTTAGGTGATTAAATGCCGGAAAGTTGCCATTTAACATTGCATCACACCAATTTTCAGGTTGATGTACCGTAACATGTTCGGCGGGGTAACAATCTTGTCTGCGGCACAATTTCTCGAAGTGAACGGCTATTCCAACATGTATTGGGGCTGGGGCGGCGAGGATGACGACATGTCTAAACGGTACTGTTCTGACAATGAATAAATCGTAGACACAGGTGCAAGACTAGACATTTAAGAAGTGAGTGCTGAAAGAGCCTCGAGCAACTACAGCGTGCATCTGTCATGACCCAGCGGGTACAGTGCAAAAGTGTATATGTACTAGTAAAATTTCATTTCATTCTATAATATTAATCCAATCAGATGATTGCGTTATATTTTTAGTTATACTTTTCTACCGTGAAATTTTAATTATGCGTGAAAATTAACAGGCATACATGACATTTACAAAAAAATTTTAGTCATGTTACGTGAGCGCAATTATGTCATCTACGCTTTTTATATGCGTTATACCAAGAGAATGTAAATTTGTAGGATAATGCATAATAACCTTGAACGTATTTTAAGAACAAAAGTAGTGCACGCCTACATCTTATCTGGTGAAAATATATAAATGTACTGTACAGAGAATTGTGCCTTAACGACATACATCACACTCATGACACCGTTTTAGGGACTTGGCAGATTACGGAGAACATCTTTCCACGTCTAAGAGCGAGGCAATTTTCCGTACCACAATAGTGACAAGACTCAACGGAGCTTGCAAATTAGTTGATAATGCACTCAAAAACAATTAATTACGTCTATAGGAAATGAAACTATTTTTCCGGATTTAAATCGCGTATTACACGCACGTACACTTAACTGTAATTTACAATACATTTAAGTTATAGTTTAACAACTTGTGCTCAAAACGTGTCCCATTCTGTAGTACACAAACTCTTACTCTTTTGATAATTTCGCTTCCTGTTGATTTATTTGTCTTTTCATGGTGAATGTTTAAAATAATACGTCAAAGGTCAGTTTGTGACTCTTGCACACTCTAAATCTTTTACAGGTACATTTTCCTTTCCTGAACAAAATTTCAAATGAAATGTTAATTTTCATGGTCTTCCTTTTATTTAAGATGCTATGTTATTTAGAAGAAAACAATCCTTATGAGTGAAGCCTTCGATCAATATAGTAAAATTACAGGTGGTTTTCTTTTTTCATATTTGTCGGATTGGATTCCCTTAAAGTCTTTGAATGCAGATCGAATTATTTTTAAAATCAAAATGAAGTCTTCTTTCAGTAAAATTTTCTATCTACGACATTTAATGTACTTTCCCTCCGTGTGGCATACCCGTGAGACACCTGTGTATGTGACGTTTTATAACTACCCTATTTAAGAACCAAAAAGTTACACTACTTTCCTTCGTAGAACCTTTAAATCTCCCTCCTAAAAAGTTGTCATTTTGCAGATGTGGCCTTATTACACCAGTTGGGTGCCATTACATAAAATGCGTTGTAAAGCCGTAGAACAAATGTTACTTGTTTTCTTAATATAATATGAGAATAGGCATTTTTCTACTACGCAGATTCTGCGTTCGATTATTGCCAGAATGATGTAAAAATCCCTGTCCATGTTATTGGCTTCTCCACTATTCATTAGATGTCCAATTTGTACGAATTTAAAAGTTACATACACCGGCAATAATCCAATCAACTTCGTTCCTCATGGTTAAATGTTAAATGTTAAATGTTAAATTTCATGGTCTTCGTTTTATTTAAGATGCTATATCATTTAGAAGAAAACAATCCTTATGATTGAGGCTTTCGATCAGTATAGTCAAATTACAGGTGTTTCCTTTTTCACATTTGACGGGTTCGATTCCCGGTTCAGACAGACGATTATTTAAAAATCTCTGAATGCAGTTCGAATTGACTTTAAAATCAAAATGAAGCCTTCTTTCAATATACTTTACTATGTATGGTATTTAAGATACTTTCCCTCCGTGTGGCATAGCCGTGAGACGTCCTGTATATAACATGTTTCGTGCAGTTTGTATTATTTTCAGGACTTTCGTGTGATAAAAGTACTTTTGACGTACGGCTTTATTATACCAATGTATTATATTATACGTAATTCTTTTGATTTTTCAGGCTAACAGGTCGAGAAATTAAAATAAATGACGTTGTTACTTTTAATTATAACGTTTTTTGTTAAAGAAAAATAACTATAGTCGCAGAATAGTCTGGAATTTTTTCGAAACCATTACAAGTATGCACTTTCAGTTTACGTCATCGAGGATACATCATAAGCCGAACAAACGCATCAATAGCCCGGTACACCATGTTGCCACATAAACGACGAAGACCCAATCCTAATAGGTAGGCAATGTAAAATTTGACAAAATTACTTTTTGACACTGGGAGTGGCATCAGTGAGATTTCTTTTTTATAATATCAAGTGACGGGACGAACAAGTCGTGCGCCTGGTGCCACTCAGAACCCTAAATCTCAAAGATCTTAAGGCCACTGCGCCCTTAACGTATAAGTTGACAAGTCCCATGTGCCTGTAATTTCACCAGCACCCTACCTTACCCTTACAAACCGGAACGCAGTGATGTTCACATTACTGCTTGGCGGCAGAAATTAAGGTGGCAGTACTTCCCTGGACGAACTCTTTCACAAGAAGCTCTACTGCTACAAGAATTTTCATATAACACCGCGATACCAATAACGACATCAGGTGTCGGTGGGTGTTGAATTTGTCGACTTCTGGGCACTCTTGTCTTTAAAATATAACTTTGATAAAATTCTACAACGACTAAGGCAGGCAGATTGATTGTTTTCATCCATATTGATTATTTTGTTAATAAATGTCACAAAATCATTGAAATAATATTTTATTTCAATATCAAAAAAAATAGAAAGCTTATTCATGTAGATCAGAGGTTCCCAGACTTTCTTTCTCATAGACCACTTTCAAAATTTAGCTGGTACCGGTGGACCCCCTGCAGCTACATTTCTACCATATTCCCAAGACTTGAAACTTGAAAAATGTGAAGATTAGATCTCACTATGGAAATTAGCAACGCAAATTGCTGAATTCCAAACACAAATTTATAGTTTTCGAAAAAAAAGTGATTATTTCGATTATTTAATCGATTGTGCTGTGAGTGGATGTCAAACAAGTAAAGACAAGATGTACTGAATATGGAATATGCAAATTTTTACAAGTAACAGCCGCAGAGCTTCTTAAAATATTATCTGCCTGCATTGAGGTGAAGTCAAGCCAACATTTTAGTTCTTCACTATCGAAAGCAGATAAATTTTCGTGGAAATTTTTTTGAACACGCCAACGTAGACCTCCTTCGAGTCTCCCGTGGACCCCTGGTGGTCCACCTGGACCTCTTTAGGAACTAACGATGTAGATAAATTCAGTAAGGATGTACATTTTGCGGGGTTCTTTTAAAATACGTAAAATCAGCATCCGCTGATGTTAAGGTATTTTTACGTGTACATTTTTCGGGGTTTTTTAAAATACGTAAAATCAGCATCCGCTGATGTTAAGGTAAAAATACCTCTACATCCTTACATCCTTACTGAATCAGCATCCGCTGATGTATAAAAAACCTGCACCAGCAACAATACTGCTCTCAATACTAGTAACTCCCTGACATATTTGTTAGTTACACATGAATCCGCACGGACACCGCTACGGACGCGTCTTGTGGCATCATCATCATCATCATCATCATCATCATATCAGCCGGAAGTCGTCCACTGCTGAACATAGGCCTCCCTCAAAGATTTCCAGACCAGCCGATCGGAAGCGACGTGCATCCATCGGTTACCCGCCGCCTTTACCAGGTCATCTGTCAATCTAGTAGGGGGCCGTCCCACTGAACGCATTCCGGTTCGTGGTCTCCATTCAAGAACCTTTTTGCCCCAATGGCAGTCAGTTCTACGAGCTAAATATGCCCTGCCCACTGCCACTTCAACTTGCTAATCATTCGAGCTATGTCGGTGACTTTCGTTCTTCTACGGATTTCCTCATTTCTAGTTCTATTCTAAAAAAATAAGAGAAATGCCGAGCATGGCTCACTTCATAGCTCATAGAGAGACTTTGAACTTTTTTATGGGGCCCATAGTAAGTGACCACGTTTCAGAGCCGTAGCTCATCCCTGGCTACACGCACTGCTCGAAGATTTTTGTCTTCAAGGACTGCATTACTGCGGATGAGACAACGTCCCGAAACTTCCCGAAAGCTGCCCAACAGAGTCGGATTCGACGATTGACCTCTTTCTCGAAGTTGGCCCTGCCTAATTGGGCGGTTTATCCGAGTGTCTTGTAGCAACCGTGCTACATTCGAATACGCTCTCGCACAATTTGTACACGGCATGCACGCGGCCGCGTTACAGTCACCAGAGAAGTTGTGACGTTGTGCTCGGAACTCGACAATAACTATTTCTACTTTGCATATTTTATTTTTTAAGTCCAGTCGTTTTACGCCCGCGTGCGCCGAACAACCTGCACCATATATAAAGCCGACACTGCTTCTCTTCAAAACGCAGAAACCTTTATCACACTCATTTTTTCAGGATCAGAATACTGAGACAAGCAATTAATAATTACTTACACGACGGCCTATCGAATGTGAAATACGATTTGGTGGATATCGTAAGACATCACCTCTACACTCTAATACAAGTAGATGTGGACAGATATGCCAACGACACATTTATTGTGGAGTCTACCACGGTACTGCCTAACGTTACAAAGAACGTCACGAAGAACACAACTACGATTTCGACTACTTCAAGCTGAAGACAAAGGCTTTCACATTAGATATTTGGCCGTATTGCTGAATTTAAAAATCTACCAAAACCAAACCCAATTAATAACTTTACGAATAAATTGTCGAAATGACTGAAAGAATACGTTGAGTTCATTATTTTAACATTACATAGAATTACAATTGAATCTAAGCTAATGTCATAAAATCGTACCCGTGGTATAATAAAGCCACACGTGAACATACGTCAAAAGTGCTTTTATCATAAAAATATTACAAAAATAACACGAACTACATGAAACAAATTGTCTATTTATGTGAGATTTTATAACTCTCCTATTGCGCCATAAAAGCTATCGACTATCGAGTTCTTAGGTTTTCGCCATTGTTACACATAGGAAATGAAACTATTTTTCCGGATATAAATCGCGTATATTTGTTTTTTCAAACAAACCGACGTTTCGGGCCCTTTACAGGTTCCATTGTCAACCGTGACCATGGGACCTGTAAAGGGGCCGAAACGTCGGACCCAATGTATTTTATATTTTTATTGAATTGATATTCAATTGTTTTTTTGTGAAATTACTCCACTAGTTTGTTATAATTATTAATACAAACTGCACCTTTGTTTTTGGAACATTTGTTTCAATAACAGCCATTATACATTGAGCTATTATTTAAATAATTGGAAGTTGAACTAACAGGATGAATTTTGTCCAATAAGTTCAACTTTCTGAATAGATATACTTTTTTTTTTTTTTTACGGGGTGGAAATCTTTATGGATACTCCTGAGCCCAGGGCGACTCAGGGGTTATGTGGGGACTCTCCCTCCACACTGGAAGGCCTACCCCACTAAAACCCCCCCGGGTTTCCCTCTCGCCGGTTGAGTCGGCGCCGTGGGATCAGTGGACATTCACCACGACGCCGGCGCCAGGGCTCCCGCGCCAACGGAGGGACGAGTCGGTTGTCCTCCGACCCGCCCCCCAGACGAGCGAGGCCGTGCAATGCAGGCTTCGGAGTCCCTGTCCAGAGCCCGCTGGTCTCAATAGGGGATCAGGCGAGCAGCGAACTGCCTTCGCCTTCTCCCCGTACGTCTGCGCCGGAGCGGTGCGCGTCCGCCGCGTCCTCGCGCACCCGCTCCGCGGCCTCCTTTTGCGACATAACCTCTGTGCAAAAGGAGGCCATCGCCTCCCAGGACTCCTCGCTATCGAGCATGGCGGCAACCACGCTCGGCAACGAGAGGTCCTGCCCTATAGTCCCCGTCAGAGTGCGGCGCTGCTCATCCCACCGGCTACACACCTCTAGGGTGTGCTGCGCGGTGTCATCCGCAGCGCCGCACTCGTGGCACGACGGGGACGGTTCCCTCCTCGCCACCTTGTGCAGGTAGTGACCGAAGCAGCCGTGCCCGGTCAGCACCTGCACAAGGTGGTACGACAGTGGCCCGTGGGACCGGTTTACCCACTCTACGAGGACAGGGCGAATCGCCTCTATGGTACGAGCACCATAGGGGGGATCCGCCAAGCCTTCTTTCCACCGGTCCCGCATGCGCTGCGCCGCGAGGCAGCGCTCCCGCTCCACCTCTTGGGGAGCGGGTCGCTCGCCTCGGTCCCTCTGATGTACCTAGTCGAACTTATTGGAATGTTTGTGTCCGATTAGTTCAACTGATTGAACTTATAGTTAGTGGAATAGATCACTAATTATCGCCCATAGGCTTATTGCCTACTTTTGCAAAAATTATTGAAACTGCTATGTCAAACCGACTATTTTTATATTATTTTAATTCCTTTTTTCAAAAATATAATAACCTCCATGACAGTCAACATGGATTCCGGAAAAACCGATCTACCTCTTTAGCAATTTATAAATGTATACAAAAAATACTAGATTCGATAAATGGTAAACAACATGCTATCAGCCTATTGCTAGACATGAGCAAGTCGTATGACATGGTAAATCACAGGATTTTGCAACAAAAACTATACGGACTTGGAATAAGGGGAGTGAGCTCACCGCTGGTCTGTTTCTTGTCTCAAAAATCGCTCATAATACGTGGAAATAGAAAGCACAAATTACAGCACTGGACAAATTGACCGTATAAGATCAGATCGAGTGTCCAGATCCATACCACAAAGAAGTGTGTTGGGCTGTATTCTCTTCTTGGTCTTAAATGACCTTCCACCGCATGTAGGTTACTTTTGTGTACTGTTTGCAGACGACATTTCCATAATAATAGGGGTTAAAGTATGAAATTGCCGATTTGACTGAAAATCTAAATTGTTTATTTTTTAAATTTTTAACAAATTTATTTAATCAAAATAGTTGCCATTATTATCTATACATTGCTGCCATCTAATGGGAAGGTTATTAATGCCTTTGCGATAGAACTCCGACGATCTAGACTGCACAAACTGTGTGAAAGCATTTTGTACTGCCTCCTGGGAAGAAAACTTCTTGTCACGTAGATAATTGTCCAAATCACGAAAAAAATGGTAGTCCGTTGGAGCAAGGTCTGGTGAATACGGAGGATGACGAATGGTTTCTAACTGCAGTTCCTGAAGGGTCAAAATGGTTTCTCGTGCTGTGTGAGGTCTCGCGTTGTCGTGGAGCAATAATGGTGAAGATCGATTCATGAGTCGGGGCTGTTTTACTGCTAGTTTTGTCAACATGGTTCGGAGTTCGGCACAATAGACATCTGCCGTTATTGCTTGACCAGATCGGAGAAAACTATAGTGAATAACACCATGCTGAGACCACCAAACAGTTACCATTACCTTTTTATTGGTAAGTTTTGCTTTAGGACACTGTTGTGGCATTTGACCTGGGGTCAGCCATTGCATTTTTCTTTTCCGGTTATCATAAAGAATCCACTTTTCATCACATGTTACAATTCGATCCAATATTCCTTCATTTCTGTACCGGTTCAACAAGGCAACACAAGTTTCAACACGCGTTTCTTTCTGCAGATCAGTCAAATCATGAGGCACCCATTTTTCGTATTTTTTTATTTTATTGATTTGACGCAAGTGAGTCAATATTGTGGGTAAGGTAACGTTAAACCATGCCGCTAATTCCTGGGTAGTTTGACTAGGATCGGCTTCCACTATCTCTCTTAATTCATCGTTATTCACCTGTGTGGGCGGTCTTCTTCGTGGCTCGTTCTTTAAGTCGAAATTTCCATCACGAAAGCGTTTAAACCAAAATCGCACGGTGCGTTCATTAGTAGACCCCTCTCCAAACGCAGCATTGATATTGCGGGCTGTTTCTGCCGCGTTAGTTCCGCGTCGGAACTCGTATTCAAAAATCACTCGAATTTTCGCAGTATCCATCTTTCTTGTCTAAATTGAATAACAAAAACAATTGAAAGTCGATATTCAAATGTTTCAAATTTAAAAAAAAAAAAACACAGAAACCATTTGAAAAAAGTTTCATTCGAAAACCTCAAACCATGAAGATTCTATGAAAATTCAAAGAACCTATTGCAATAAAACGGCAATTTCATACTTTAACCCCTAATATTAACTTGTAAAAATACTGACTCATTACAAACGACCCTTTTTTTACGGGGGGAAATCTTTATAGATACCCCTGAGCCCAGGGAGACTCAGGGGTTATGTGGGGACTCTCCCTCCAGACTGGAGGGCCTACCCCACTAAAACCCCCCCGGGTTTATCTCACGCCGGTTAAGTCGGCGACGTGGGGTCGGTGCAATGGCAAGGACTTGAGTATGATTTCTAGTGCTTTGAATCATACTCAAGTCCTGACTTGAGCATTGAGTAGAGTTCTAGAATACGACTCTAACTGTTCTGAGTGGCGCAGTGTTCCCTACAGTGTAGGGTCTAATTAAAATGTCAGTACACTTTAAATATTCTTAAAGATCACTAAAAGTGATGACTACGTCCTGGCGAAGTTGATGAGTTGACAAAATTGACATCTCTTTTTTTTGCATGAAACAAAACTACTTTAGATTTAACAGACAATATTACTTGCAATGTGATGGCCTAGCAAGGGTTCTCCTCTCAGTCCTTTAATGACAGACATATTTATGGATCATTTTGAAATTCAATACATTGCAGGTAATAGATATACACTATATTACTTTAGGTATGTTGATGATTTGATACTTTGTTGGACAGGTAGTAAGAGACAGCTGGACAATTTTGTAAACGACCTTAACAACAAACAGCCAAAAATTAAGTTTAAGAAAGAATTATAACAAAACAACTCTCTTAGATTTAACTATAACCAAAGAAGATAACAAACATGATTCTAAAATTTACCGTAAGGTGATTATCATACTGCCCCGCGCCCCGCGACGGAGCTGCATTTTTTAACGTTGTACTGAAGTACCTCAGTTGTGTGAAAACACGCGCCGTAGAACACACTGTCAAAGCTTCTCCGCGCGGGGGCACGGAGGGGCGCGGCGAACAGCAGGCTATGGCACACTGCGCTCCGCACTACCGCGCAGATTTTTAAGCTTAAGGACATTCAGTTTTCTATAATAGATCACAATGTCGAAAAATTTATATTTGCATTTGGAAATCGACCAAATTTATCTTCATATTTTCTTAAATCTTTGTAATGAAGTTGAAATTATCCATTTATCGAGCTGGTTTGTAAAAAGGGATGTATCGAATATCTTCGGTGTCTTTTTATTTGAGTAAACAAAAACCAAATAGACAGTATAACTGCAGCGTCCTGAATGAGTTCCGTATTATTAACCATTCTTGTCAAAGAAGGATCTCGGCTACATATACAATTACTACGGCGTTCAACTGCGAAGCGAGTACTTTAAGTGACGCGGGGCCGCTAGACTACTGCCCCCGCGCAGATTCAACCGCGCGTTGACGCAGATCTGCGTCTCCGCCACCGCGCGCGTGATTCCGCGTCTCGCGCCGTCGCGGGGCGCGGTGCAGTGTGTTAATCGCCTTAGCCTACGCATACAGATACAGCTTTGTATACTGCAGTTCCTCACAGCTTAATAATAAATATAAAGCAAGCATTACTTATGTTGGCCATTTGTCAGAAAAGATTTATAAATGTTATATATATAACATGTTATATATAAATGTTGCTTTTAACACAAATAACACATTGCG